CAGCAGGAAGCTGCCAAGGGAGTCACTTGGCATCATGTGGGGGCCTTGCTGAGGGTCTCTGGGTGGTGGTGTGGGCTATGGGAGGACAGGAGCCACCTCCTCCTTGGGAGCCAGGTCTGGAGCAAAAGGAAGCACGTTGCTGCTCAGTTACCTTGGGCAAGAAGTCAGTCAGCTTTGAGCCTCCACGTGGCAGATTCTCCTCCTGACTTGGTAGCCCTTTGGAATTCTCAGATTATAGGAATGTCCACGTTATTTGCATCTGCATATTTGTATGTCTTTTTGCCTTTCAGCTTTTTGGAGGGGGCTTAAATACAGGGCATATTTTCTTAAGCATCTGGAAACAGGCTTATAAAGGAGGAAGCTGGGACACTGAGTGTTATAACCACACATGTAGGTAATAATGTGTGGAATGGTTAGTTCTCCTAACAACAATAAAAAGGCAAGAGAACAAAAACAGGCAAAGATTTTCAATCAAAATTAGCTGTTAATTAAAAGGGAAATGTTTCTGCCAATTTTTTTTTTTTTTTAATTTGCTCTAATGATGAAGTTGTAAATGGAACAAAACCAGCTGAAATGGTATTTTGCTTTTGTTTGTAATTGTGAAAAACATGGGGGCTGCTTCAGATTTTTACTGATTCTTTTTTGTTCTCCCTCACTTTCCATCATGTGCAAAAGAATTAAATGGTGTCTGGGATTTTCCCTCCTTTCTTTGGTTGCTTTGTTAAGAAAAAAAATCTATCAAACTCTGAAGACCTGGAAGTATGCTAAAAGGCTAAATTTAAGGTGGGGAAAAGCTGAGTCAGGAGTACAACAACACTTAATTAATTGGCACTTTATTCGTTATTTGTATTTCATGTGGCTCAAAATCATATTCTGGAGAAGTGTACTTACTTCTCTATTTCCCACTGTTCTTCAAAATTCCAAATATAATCTTCAGATGCCTCCACATCTTATGTATCTCTTGGTTAATTTGCAAAGGTTGTTGAGGTGGAGTGTTTCATTGAGTCAATGCAAGCTTTGGTAAAGTTGTCAAAAAGTAGTTTTACATTCTCATTTTCTAAGAAAATTTAATTGAAATCCAGCCATTTCTGTCGTGAGTTGTCATTAAAGCTATAAGGTTAGAAGAGGTGAAAGAGCTACCTATTAAATTCTATCTTTTAGGGAATTTACAGTAAAATTTTCCTGAACTGATATACCATTTCACATTTTTCTATCCCTTTTGAACAAAATGTAACTACAGAAGAAATTGCTTTATAACGATCAGCAATAGTAAAACTATGATACCTTAATATATTCCATTGTTTTTTTATTTTTTTGTTTGTTTGTTTGTTTGTTTTGGGAATGTCCCTTTCTGTTTTTGCCATGGACTGAGTTATTAAGATAATGAATATAATGAGACCATTCTTTATGTCTACTGAGCTCATCTGCAGTCTTATTTCATTTACCCCTTGGAACTCCCCCATCCTCATCCCAAGTATCAGCTCTCTGCTTATTTGCTGCCTGACAGCAGTGTCTGGAATTGACACTTCCTGTCCTTGAGTTTCAGTGGCAGCTGTAATGAACACTTTTAGAAGATGAGCAAAATTAACTGACAATTTCATAGTTCTTGTCAGCAAGGTTTTGGGAAACAAATACAATGGGAATACTTTTGGGAGGCAGTTCAGACAGAAACCGTGCTGTGCCTTATAAATCACAGCTAACTCTGTGCCCATTGCTATCTGGTTTATTCCAGGAGGGCATAAGGGTACCTTGAAAGCGTCCTGCTGGCACTGGGTGGGGCTGGTGGGTTTGGGCAGCAGAGTGCTGCTTCAGGAGGAGGTGCAGGAAGGCAGGGCGAGCCCCACAGCTTGGGAGGAGCTGTGGAAAACATACAGAAGGTGGCTAGATAGCTCCATGCTGCATTGCCATCCCTGGAGGATGACAGCAACAATGATGAATAGTTTGTATTGTGGTGGCACTCACTGTCAGTGAATAAGTGTGGTTACTGGGGGCACTGTGGAGATGTACCCGGAGAGACAGCCCTTGCTCCATGCTGCCTACAAGTAAAGACAGAAGAAGGAGAAAGCAGGCACAGGAAGGGAAAATTATTTGTTATGAGCTGCAGTATTTGCTTAATATGCAGTATAGAATTAATTTCAAATCAATCTACTTAGAGATGCATTAAGGCCAGAGCTTGCACTGACATTTGAATGATCCAGTAGACAACATTTGGCTGCAATGGTCAAAATTCATTACAAATGATCTCATTATGGTTTTCCATTTTGCAGTTAGCCAAGGTCTTATAAAGTTTAATCCGAAGCAACAGTACTGTTTGACCTCAGAATGCATTGAGGCTGGTAAGCAACAATTTTATTGTCTCCATTATATCATTATTATGGTATGCTAATGAGATATTTATACTGTTTAGTTTTATTTCCATTATACGTTTTACTCAGAAAGCTTCATTAATAATAAGGGGGGAAAAAAAGCCCCAAACTTTTAAAAAAGTCACTGTTTAAGTTGCTGCAGATCTGCTTATTTTCTACAATTAAAAGTCATGTTTTGAATTGTTTTAACTCTATTCCACCCGTGTTAACTCAAAATTTCCTATAGGGTTTATTTAGTTTTTTTAAATAGAAAACAAAATGTTGGGTGACTTGAACTTTTCTTCCCAGTGTTCAGAGAACTAGCAAATGAGTTACTAAGCACAGAGATGCTCTAGGGTGAGATCTTGCACAGACTTGTATAAATATTTTGTGGTGACTATGACTCAAAATCTGCAATTAATTCTATATTGGCAGACTCTTTTCCACATGCAGAGATACATGTAGTAACCCTTACAGAGCTGGGACATCTATTTGTATTAAGTGTGAGCTAAAGGGACCAGACTTGGTAGGACCTAAGAGATGTCCCTTTTGCACCGGTAAGTTTTGACAGAGTTTTGCTCACACTAAATCAATGAGAGATTTATCACTGAGTGTAACAAAAGCAAAGATCAAGCAATATTTACCACTTCAGGAAATCTACCTCTAGAGCTGTTTTATTAGAAACAAAGTCGACATCATGTGAACTTATAATTATTTCCATTCTTAACTGAGCTGATACTGTGAGGTGTTTGACTTGTGAAATCCTGATAAATTCTCTGGGGCTCCACAAATTGAAAAAATTGCATTTCTCAACATTATTATGATGTTTCTTGCCATTCTCTTTCTGCTCTGCACTGCACTGACAGTGCTCTACACCATCATGGGCACCACCCCTGGGAGCTGACTCTCAAATGAGTGTAAATATCAAAGTAAGGTGGAATGATGAATCAAAACGCCACAGCCTCCAAAACCCCAACAAAAAAAAAAGGTGGGGGAAGGGAAAGGGGGCTTCATCTTAAGCTTCAGAACAAAAAAATGTCATTTAAGAAGTTTCAGTCTGAATTGACTTCCTTCTTCCCATGTGCACACAAATGAACATTGATTTTTTGGTAAGTTCAGCAGAAGCTGAGATTTTCCACTAGGGCAGACTGGGACACCTACATGACCTGTTTTAGATCAGAGTGCTCTGTGTCGTGACTACATAATGTCTTGAGAACTGAGACTTGCTGAACAGCTTTTCAGGACTGATAGAAAATTGCCAACAATCAAAATGTCTTCAATTTAGTAAGTTAGACTTATACTTAGAACTTCGCTAGTTTAGTAAGAGTTTCTTTAGTAAGAGAGAATTACAGCTAAGACACAGAAATAGCATAGGAAGAGTTACTCTGAGTGGATGAAGAAGAGTTAAGTTGCTAGAAATAATACCATAAAGTCTGTAAAAGCTGATTTCCTGCTAGGATTTTTGGTCAGTTATTTGGATAAGCCTCAAAACACATGTTCATTTAGCCAAAAAATGTCAAGCATCCACATATTCTGTGTTACTTGACGCATACAGATTTATGCCACAATCACTATATCGCCTGAAAAGGGTGATGGTTTTAAACTAAAAGAGAATAGATTTAGACTACATATAGAGAAGAAATTTTTTATTATGAGGATAGCAAAACACTGGGACAGGTTGCCCAGAGAGATTGTGGATCATTTCTGGAAACATTCTAGGTCAGGTTGGCCAGGGCTCTGAGCAACCTGATCTCTTTGAAGATGTCCCTGCTTACTGCAGGGGGCTTGGACTAGATGTCCTTTAAAGGTCCCTTTCAACCCCAAACATCCAATGATTCTGTGATCTATGATTAGATGCTCAAAAGCTGTTACATCTCCAGCTTGTCAGACTGATCTCTCTTACCAGTCTCACCTGCAATAGCAACTGGCAGAGATGCAGTCACAAAATGGGGCTGAAAATACTACAATTATCTTTTCCAATGTATGGTAGATCAGAACATGATTTGTTTTCCTGTGCATCTATTCAGCTAAAGGTAAACAGTGCATAATTTCTGGAATGCTAATTACAATCTTCTCGATATATATTGCTACTAAATTCCTCAGGCAATTATTTCTCTCAGAGCAACAGTGAAGAGCCTGTCTTCAGGTGCCTGGCTCCAGCAGTTCACATTCCTGTAGTGCTAGCTTCAGTGGGCATTGTGGGCATTGCTGTACAGCACATTCATTGCAGATAACTGTCTTTTTTTTTTTGCTTCGTATGTAGGCACTGTTAGATGATAGAGAAGCTGGGTGCTATTCTTGCTGCTCCTTAAAAAGTGGCAGAGATCAGGGTGCACATCAGCCCTAGAACAGCAAGGCATAACACGCAAGTGAAGCCAGCATCACAATGCAGAGACTGGTAAATGTTAATTGTAATTTCTGGACTGTGGCTTCGTGCAGTTGTCTCTTCAGGAAAAAATCTTGTGTGGAAAAAAAATTTCTTAAAAATCTGTGTGGTGTCTCTTCTATAGCTGCTGGCATCCTGAGCAAGATAAATCAGTCTGTAGATCCGTGTGAGGACTTCTATCGATTTGCGTGTGATGGCTGGATATATAACCACCCTATTCCTGAAGACATGTCAAACTATGGTGTTTATCCTTGGCTGCGACACAATGTGGACCTCAAACTAAAGGGTAAGTATGCCATTTCTGAAAGTGTTTGGTTGGCTTGTCACTGTAACTTGGTAACTGGCTGATTTTGAAATGAATAAAGATTCCATGCTTCTTTCTGAACATTGGGTAATATCTAATAGCTCCACTTGTTGTTTTCTTTTAAGTATGATTTTTTATTTTTTTAATTGAAAATAACATTGAGAGATAGTGAATTATAACAGAAACAGAATTTTGGAAGAAGAACACAACTGCTGGAAACTGAAAGGATACTCCTTATACAAAAGGAAAAGATGTGATGATTTGAACTCTTCCCTCCTTGCAATAGAAGGGTAGACCAGAGTGCAGGAGCATGCACGTTTAAGAATGTCCCAGATCTAGGCAAACATCAGTCTAGGCCAGTACTCTGTCTATAACAGTGGTGAATAGCAGAAAAATAAGATAATAAGGCCAAACCAGAGTGGTATTTTCCAGTATACTTACCTAGCTCTTGGGAGGAGGCAATCTGCAGTCTTCCAAAGACAGAGGTTGTTTGGGTATTCCATTTCCTTCACGTTGCCATTCAAGTTGCCACTGAAGTACCTGAGCTATCATCAGTGAAACTGAAGGCTGCTTAAGGATGTGTGTCTGGAGGAAAAAATAGCCCCAGAGTGGAAACACATAGGAAGAGAGGTATTTTAATTTGTGTCTGACTTGACCTTGTGCTATACTCTGCAGCAAGGCCACCTCTTCAGGAAGGTGTGCAGACCAGCTGGAGAGGAAGGGTGATGATTATTATTATGTGGGAAAACCTTGCCACATTCCTATAATCTTTGCTAAAGTCAAGTGAAGCAAAAGAAGGGAGATGTGCAAGATTTGTTATTGTTGTTGGGGTGTTTCAGCATTGTACACCTTGAGCACGTTGTGGACCTGTTAGTGGACATAAGGGCCTGCTTTGAGTTCACCACAGAACAGGGGTCAGTTTTAGGATGTTGTGCTTAAATACAGCATTGATTTTTGTCTTTAGATTTTCTGTGTGTGTATCAGCATCAAAACCCTTCTCCACTTGCTTTCTTCAGTCATGTCATATTCAATTTTTACATCATTAGGTATTTTAAAAGCTGCATTTGGTTTCACAATATGAGTTTGGAATTTCAGTTTAGGGTACGATCTGATAACTGCTGTTTTAAGTGTGCTGAAGATGCCATAACCAAAGGAAAAAATATTGCCAGAGCCTGTTTTAAGTTACGCTCTGCATTCTTATTGTTCTGCTGCTAAAATCAGGCTCTATTAGATAACTTCATATCCTGCATGAACCACAGCCACAAAGAAGCCAGTCCTAATTGAATATAGAGTAGAAAGCTGTGATTCTCATCCTTAATTTCCTCTTTTGAAAGAGACTAATCAAGAACATCAGGCAAAGCCACATTTTTATACGGTTTTCTTACTGTTGTCCCTTTGGAAGTTGCTAATTGATAGCTGGGAAAATACATGAAAAAGAAGGAAATGTTTAAGTGAGAAGTATTTGCTTAATGGAAACTTCATATCAAAAAAAGGGTGTAATGAAGTGCCTGATAACTAC